GTGTTCATCCCTGCCAACCATCCCTGCCTCAGAAAACCTGGATCTGGAAGTCACTAAGGTGGCCCTCCAGCAGTGAGCACATTGTTCATCATCATGAAATGTATTTGACAATATGAAACAGGGCCATCCAGGAAATCTCCTCAAAACCATCTTAAGGACACCTCCATTTTAATAATCTTTCCTGTTCCTCCTTCCTTTCCGCTATTATCCTCAAGAATTTGAAGTGTCCTTGCTAAGAAAAGAATATATTTCTGAGGCAGTACTTTTACTCCAGTTGCTGCACTGCAGTCCAGTCTTCTTATAAGATGGACTACGCATAAAGGGGGAAAGAGAATAAAAAATGGAAGATAAAAAGAAATGTGGCTTTCTCAGTTACAGCCCTTTTCTTGGAAAGTCAGAGTTGCAGCTGACAGCACAGACTATAAGCTATGCTAGGAGCTTTTCCTCCTAGTCCTGGTAAAATATTTTGTTCTCCTCTGTTTCAGCCTTTGAAAGAAAATCCTACATTACTAATACCAATATATCAATATGTGTTGACTTTGCTTTTCTACATACAGTTGTTACACCAAATTCTTGTAAATAGCTAATATTTTTGTGTCTCATAAAGTAAGGAAATAAAGTATATAATGATGGAAGCAGGTTACCCACAGAAAGACAGGTATTTTGCATAAATGTACCAAGACTTTTTTTACTCCCTTCTTCTTTCCTTTCAGTTTGCATTTCCTTCTTTTCTCTCTGTCTTTCTAGGGAACAAAGAGGATAAGAATAAAGAGACAAAAAGGGTATTAAAAACTCTTTGAGGATCTCATAAAAAAGGTTGAGCATACCTAATAGGGAACTATTCAATAGAGTTATTTTGTTCTTAATTCTACTGCAAGTATCACTTTTGTAATCAAAGACTTAGATGTTTTAATTAACCTTGATTTCATCCTTTAGTGTATTCAGTGTTTATCCTATATTTAGGTTAATCTAAAAAAAAATTAATACTTTTCTGGAAGGAAAATCCTAGTGAAGTAAAGCCCACATGAAATTCTGTGGGCCTTTAGCACCAAATATTATTTTGAAACTTTCAAACTGTCTTTTCATTTATATGAGTGATTTCTCCTTCGCCACAAACCCAAAACACAAGTGTCTCCACTCTTCCCCCTATACCATTCCAGCCTCTGTCCAGGAGAGACACTTTGCTCACTGCTGTGTGTGTTCCCTCTAATCAGAATTATTCAGAGAAGGACTACTTGAAATTTCTACAAAGCCAGATTGTTAATCAGAACTACATGGTTTCCCACTTTTTTTTGTTTTTTTTCCTACTTGTTTTTAAGGAAACATCTATAGAGACTGAAATCATGCCAGTTTGATGAGGTTTGTTATGTTAGATGACTGAAGTAATGCACATGTTTATGCACAAACAAATGCATAATTCTTCCTTTGTTTGAGGGTACTGCTCTCAAGAGCTTGGCTCTTGTTATGGCACACTTATTCACAGAAGAAATAAAATTAATTAAGGAAAATTTGGGAAGATATTTATTTTCAGGCCTTTTCTGGGTAGAAAATGTGGACAGGGAAAAATCTCCTGTTTAATTTAAAGGAAAAGAACCATCAATTTCAGAGTGCTTTCCTAAACCTAAGTAATGTAAATCTGATGTACGATCAAAAATATCTTCTTTTGGAAAACATGACTTTGCTCAGTTCTGATGAAACAAGATACATGCCTGTGGGAAAGTATTCCATTGAGGAGGGGCTATGTTCAGCAGCAGTGTTGCAGGTGACCTCTGGCAATGTTAGAAAAAAACATATAGGAAAATCTTTCTTTTATTTGTTGAGATATAAAATAGATGGAGGATGATAAGATCATTAAAAAGAGAAGAACTTCTTGTTCTTTATCCAACTTGCCCTTTATCCAACTTGGGACCCTTGAAAGTCACTCACTAGAAAGTGTTTATGAAACTCTGCAACTAGTTTAAATGTAAGAAATGGTTTTTCAATGTACTCTTGCCCTTTGTTGCCTTAATCTTTCTTCTAATACAAAATTTATCAGATTTGGGATTTTGTTGATCTCTGCAAAATATTATCTGTATCATTTATATTTCTCTAGTAAGCTCATGCCTATATTCTGGGTGTTTATTTTCATATCTATAGTGAGCTTTACAAGGCATATATCTTTTTCATCGTTCCTGCTCACTGTAAAAAATCCCTTTTTCTTTTTTAATGCTGTAGTTTTATAAATATCTGATGTGTTGTAGTAAGGTAATTTCCCACAAAAATAGAAGCAATTTTTCATAGCTTTCTTAATATAACTTAGCTATCCAATAACTGACTGCTTTGAGATAGAGGGAAGGGAGGGAGGGAGAGACTAAACATATAAAGTAAATATTGCATATATTGTCCAAATCTCAAAAGGCGTTGGTTTCTTTGTAAAAGCTCTGATTTTATTTAAAAGGCACAGGCAGTAAATACATGTAGTATTAAGATGACTGTATTTTCAAATAAACAACACCAGTGCTAAGATAGCTTTTGCTGACATTCTTAGGGTCGTAAAGTAGTCACATTGAATTCTAAAAAAGCATTTTTTAAGAAGTTGCTGCTCCTGGCTTGTGACTCAGCAGTGTGTGAACCTTTGGAATTAGATAGCTAGTTTCATTCTGTACTCCCTATAGGAGAAGGAATATTGCAGAAATGAACAGCAGTGATGTATTCATATTTTTGGGAGAAGGAATATTGCAGAAATGAACAGCAGTGATGTATTCATATTTTTGGGCGTCTCTGTCATCAAATTATGACAGAGACGTAAAAAAGAGCTCAGCAATGTAATCATAGGAAACTCTATGGTGTTCAGAAGTCCTATATCTCTGATTCAATCTGTGAATCAGCAGATTGACCATGAAAAAAGAGAGGTAAATATAATTTTAATGTTCACCCAATTTAGTGTTCACATTAAAGATCACTTGGCATTCATTCCAACAGTTTAATTATTCCTTGATAAAAAGGTCTAGCTGAACTAGAGGTTTAGAACCAACATACTGGGAACACATGCAGAAAACCCCAGAGGAAACCCTCTGCTTATCCCAAAGGATATCCCAAACAATATCCAGGCCATTAAAGCTTCCAACTTTGATATAGCTCTTATATTTTCATTATTTGAGCATCAATGTACAATGCTTCCAGTCTCAGAGGAATATATAAGGTTTTGTAGGTACTAAGTAGCAAAAATGTTAGAAAACTATTAATAAAAGATATCTTACTTTCTATTGACAATTGGTACTAGCATGCCATATCTCCCCAAATGCAACTCCTTACCCATACCAGGTAGCATATGACCAAAGGAATGCACAGATGATCTTCAAATTCTTCTTCTCCTAAGTGTCCTTACACTTAGGACACCTAAGCTTGACTCAGATATTTGTGGGCTTTATCCTAATAGCTGCCAAATGTAGCAATGAAAATTTACTAAAAAATTTGTCTGTAAGAAAATAATTTTATGTTTTGGGAAGATTTGCCTACTTTCCTAACAGTGTCCTTGTCAGAATGCACTTTGCTTTTCCCAGTTCACAGCCAGCCAGAACAGCATCTTTCCATGAAATTGGGACATACCAGCCTCCAAAAAACAATTCACCACAAATTTTGGCACTGCTGCTTCAGAGCTTCTCAGCTCCCTAACTAGGAAAACCATCTTTCAGCTGTCACAAAGTCACTGGTCTCAAGTTTCCTGGAACAAAGCACTTTTAATTTCGATTTAAGTGGGAACTAAGTACTACTGAAGTTAATTATCTCAGCAATTAAATTCAATGCAAATGATCTGTGTCTGGGCTTTTGGAATTTTTATTTCTTCTAAAAGTGTAAACTCTATTGTATGAATGAAATTAATTTCTCCTTTAATGAGAATTAAATGAGAAATCCAGGCATTGAAAGAGCTAAGAAAAGTTATTTTTAGCTTTGAATTAGGAGACATAAATCTCTGTAAAAAGTTTATAAACATCTCTATTTAAAAGTTTTACATTAAATGTATCACTCAAAAACTCTCCTGGTTTATGATACAGGTGCACCCTGATGAAAAGACCAATGGGATCTATGCACAGGAGTCTAGAAAAGGGCTTAAAAGGTCATTAATGGCATCAAGCAAAAAGTCTGAAGCACAAGAACAAGTTGAGAACCACATTACTTATATTCCATCTATATTTGAGTCATTTTTTTTTCTAATTTTTATTACTCTTAGCCTTAAGAGTGGCAGTATTCAACATATTTAGTCATGTTGAATTTATAGGGAAAATGAGAATTTCATCATAACTGTGAGAGACTTCAGTAACTGCAAGTATTTTGCCCAAGTGAAACAAAAAAAATTCTAATTGTTCTATTTTTTGATTCATCAACTTTGTTTACCAATCTGAGTGCAGACTGGTGACTTTGATAGCTGCAAATTTAAACAAGGAATGACATTAAATAAGGGAAAAATAATCAAAATATAATGATGAAATCACCCTTTCCATCATCAATTTATATGTGCTTTTTGAGATCTATCAGATTATTTCAATTTCATGTTTTCTTTTTTTATTGGAGCAATAGATTGCCATTACATTTTAATAAACTGAGATGAAAACACTTCATCCTGTATATTAGAATACATCAATGTGCATTATTTTTCCCTTGTCTTTGGTAAACATCCCAAAGTGTTGGCAATAATTTAATCAAGTATCTGCTACTATACAAAAAAATATATATTTGATAGGAATTCATCTGAGCTATCCCAAGTGAATAAAGCATCTCAGTGATAAACCATCTAGTGAATGAAACATATTAGCAGATAATTTTGAAATTAAAGAAAAAACCCAAGGTGGATGCAAAGCCATCTGTATTTCCTCCATCTCTCTCTGTCTGTCATGCTGCTTTACTGTTTATTGTTGCCCAGGCCTAACTGTACTGGGACAGGAACTACAATGCCAAAACAGTACAGGCAAATCTTACTGAAAAATAGAACATGTAGAAAAGGGTCACAATAAAATTCTTACCGGTCTCATGAGGTTCTCAAGCAAGGTCTGCAGAAAAGGAATAAGAAAAATTGTAAAACGTTCATATTTTAAGAAAACAAAAACCAATTAAGTCACTACCAAGCAGGCACTGAGTCATCCCTCACCCATTTTCCAGAGCAGTTCTGCTGCTCTGAAACCTATTTCAGCCAAGATTCAGGGTAACTCTCTTATGCATATATGCAAGGCATATTACTCTACCTGCTCCTGAGGGCAAACCCCACAAATTTCCTAAGTACCTAAGTAGTTAGAAGACAAAATTACCTAGTAGATCTGTTGCTGCGAATAAATGAGTGGGAGGTACATTTTAGCAAACTCTTTTAAGCCTTGGGCTTCTTTACAATTCTCACAGGGGCTTCAAAATGAGCAACTTCAGTTCCTAGTATTAGAAGGCAAAAACTGCCTGAGGTATGTTTCAGAAAGCAAGCAAACAAACAAACAAACAGTAAACAGTTTCATAGAATATCTCCCTCCCTCCCCACACACAGTCAACATCTCCTCAGCAGCAACAGCTGGGTTGCCTATTTATATCCAGCAATCATGAAGGTGTGCACTACTGCAAGAGCATCCCAGGGAAGAAACTGCTCCTCAGAGATTTACCCTGGGCAAGGTACAATCACAGGCTCCCTAACGAACATGTCAGAACTCATTAAGAAGGAGGCTCATAAATACCAACAGATTATTCCAGCCACAAAGTTACAATACTAAGAGCGAATTATTTCTATGGGCTTTGAATCAGGTTTTAATGGTGTGTATCCAGATCCCTAGGAGGTGTAAACCAGTGTAGCTCCATTGGCTTCAACACAGAAAGATACTGATCTGCTTGAAAGAATATCCCTTTGGGGAGTCGTTTTTGAGTTGTGAGATTTGTATCCAGCTCTTTGTTTTTATTATTTCCCATTCCTCTGTATAGTCATCAATTTTTGCACAGATCCAAATTAAACCCTTTGAGAATGAGTTCCATGCAGAAATAATTTAAAAACCTAGAAATGTCAATTAAAATAAGGTAAAGCAATCATAAATTGAAAACAAAACTACCATTATAGGCCAATAAATTAGACTGTGTAGAATTAAACCACCAAGGATTTGAGTTTAAAAAAACCAAAAAGCAAACAAGTAGTTCAATGAAACTGTAGAACTGAAACTAATGAAGCCTGTCCTCTGATTTGTGCCCTGTGGTAAGATGTTTTCTGAGTCAAGAAATGTGTGAGCTGAAACTGAAACTTTTCCTGAAGTAGACTTACATATAAGATCTATCTTCTCTAAGGATATGCTGAAATATCTAATAACAGATGATTGTTGGCTTTTTTGTTCACCTGAGACAATTTTATCATCTATATTCCAAGTACTTGTTTTCATTAATGTGTAGATCTCAGCTTTCCCTGGAAACTCTCTACTTCTATCAATCAAGAGGGCTCCTCAGACATGAATAAAAACAGGATAGTTCTCCGTGTTTTTTTACAGACAATTATACGTATATAAAAATAAATGTGAATTTGAGCTAGCAAAAAGACAGAAAACTAGTATCTTTATCTTAGAGAAGCTATACCTTATTCGCTTTTATCTTTGCATATTTGATTATCAAAATGGATGTTATTCAAATCTGGGTCACAGAATGATTTCATGGCATGGACCTCTTCCACTAGATTAGTTTGCACAAAGACCCATCTAACCTGGCCTTGAACACTTCCAGAGATGGGGCATCCACCCCTTCTCTGGGCAGCTTTTGCCAATGCCTCACCACCCCCACAGTAAATACTTTCTTTCATATATCTAACCTAAAATTCCCCTGTTTCTGTTTGAATCCATCACTCCTTGTCCTATCAATACAGTTCCTGACGAATAATATTTTACTAGTCATAGGCAAAGCCCCACCCTTCCCCAGAGCTTGAAGTCTGATGTAGACAGCAGGATTTTGATCAAAAAGTATAAAAATAACATTCAACTACCATGCACTCGAATCACTTTGGCTGTTAATTTTCTAAAATTCTCATGCATTTATAGTACATGACAGCTGGATGAACTTGCAAGTATATGGAAGACATTAATTATTCATTTCTAATTAATTATGCTGAATATTTTGCTTCTTGCACTGTTGTTCATTATATAAACTAACTATCATCCTGCAGTTACTTGAGTGATGCAAAATCCCAAATGAAGATGGTTAATGCATGTCACTAATAAGAGAGGTGCACCTCAGCTGAAAGGAAGAGCACTTGGATAGGTGTGCTGTGTTGGCTGGTAATAAGTCTCTGATGAATCTACACTATTGATTGCATTTGGGAAAGTACCTACGTGCTATTTAAATGCTTAAATGGTATTCATGATCCTCATTGACAAATATATATAACAATTTCAAAAAGAGCTTCTTTAGTAAAGTGAGTACAGGAAATATTACACCACCTTTGTAGTTTCTGTGAATATGTATTCATTTATACAGTCCAGCAACTCTTTAAATCTGTTACTAAGCTAGAAATTATTGACAATGCTATCACCATTATTAACAAATATTTATTTCTCCTATGGGTAAGGAGTATATTCAAAAGCAGTTCTATCATAAAATTATATATTACCAAGTTAATATAACTCTTCTCCAAAGTGAGAAAATGGAGATAATAGACAGAATGCGGATGTGTTACATAATTTAAATGACTAAACTCTGTATACCAGCTGAAAGATTTAAGTGCATTTCAAGCTATCCCCACGACCGAATTCAAGATTTGAACTAAAAGTTAAAAGAAGATTATCTCAGTGCAGAACAGTGGAGATTTGCCAGTCCTTCAGCAAAGACCACATGAGAAATGGCAAAAAGCCCTGCTATCTAGGATCCATGAAAATAACACCATTGGCAAAGAAATTGTTCTTGCATTTCTTTTACATATTTATTAAGCAAAAGGACACCTGTCTGACACAATCTTTCACAATAGAAAGGAAAAGCGAGCAGGTTGTGGTTGGTTGCTTTCCCCATTTTATGGGGAAATGAAATGTTCTTAGAAGGTTGTTGACATTTATGTAACGTCCTTAGAAGGTTGTCCTGGAGTCACAGAGAGCCTACCAAGCAGCCATCACGGATTCCAGGGATTTGAAGGAGTTGGGATCCTTAGGATATTCAGACCTAATAAAAGCAGGGATTTTTTTTTCAGAATTTATTTGTTTGTTTGTTTCTCCATTTACCCGTCCATGTCAGCTCCCCAACAGTACAGTATGAACAGAAAGCCAGGAAGAAAAATGTAAATCAAGAGTGGCAAAATTTAAGTAAGAATAAAATAAGCCTCTCTCTAGCCTCCTCTTTAATTGCCCTGAAAAGAAAATAAATCAAGACAAAAAATTTGATTTTGATAGTGTTTGAAAATATTTTGCATGCTTTTTACAACTCAGTGAATTTTGACTTCTCAGATGCTTTATCATTTCAGTAAATCATGAATTTACTTAGCATGGCTTTGCTAACTCATGCTTGAATATTGTCCTTTTCTCTGTATCTCTTCTGAAACTTATCTTGCAATTAACCCTTCCAAATAAACAGTGACTGTAGATCATTGTTCTTCTATCATAAGACCCTTTACCTCCAAGAAAACCAACTTCTTGTTCTCTCCCAAAAATGTAGAATTTTTTTAGATGCTCATTTATTTCATAGGGATTTAAATACCCTGTTTTATTAACCTCTCTGGATATTGTCATAATCTCAAGATCATTTTGTGTTAACCTCATAACTGAATATCAAAAAGGGATTAAAAAACACTCTGCTGCAATTCAGAGTGGCATTCCCCACCTAACTCCTCCAAATAGTCCCTTGGGATCTCCAAGACACCTTTTATCAGGGATACCCATCCCAAAGACCCCTACAATACCCCAGCCAAATTTCCCTGACCTCCAGTAATCTACCAATATATTTTTATTCAAGATACAAATTCATTTAAAAAAATTATTTCAACTTTCCTTTTTATACTAAGACAGCGATTGTGGGTTTTTAAAAGAAATTAAATAAAGTGTGACATTTTTTTGGTTGCATTTCTGAGCAAAGATTTCAATTTTTTCAATTACAAAGGCAAGAACTAATACCTATCAATAATTTGTACTTTGTTAAAAGAAGTAATTTAATCTTGCAGTCTTTAGGTGCTGTCAGGGAAAGCTGTATCTCAGGTCTAAATCAGTACAGGGACTGTTAACATGGTTAGTTTATATAATGAGCTGCTATAGAGGATGCAAAAACCATCAGCATAATTACTTACAAATGAATAATTAATAGCTTGTATGCAAGTTAAGAGGCTCATCAGAGTGACACAAATTCATGAACATTTATGAGCAATTAATAACCAGAAAGCCATTGATAGATGAGACACGTAGTGCATACAGTATCTTCAAATGGGGGGGGAGAAAAAATCACATTTCCAAGCCATGAGGTTGCCAACAGTCTGAATCAGAGCAGTGGAAGGCTGAGCTTCAGGGCCTGCTGTGGGGGAATGGAGGATCCTGGTGCTTGCACATTAACAGTTCATTTGTGAGGATTCAGCAGTGAGAGAAACCTTCAAACAGAAAAATTGGCGTTAAGATTGACATACTTTAGAGAAAGAAGTAAAAATGGAGAGGAAAAAAAGCAGGTAGAGAGAAAACAGAAGTGGTTTTCTTAGAATCCCTACTTGTTCAACACCAAGTTCTAAACCACAGTAGAGTAAATATCCTCTTTAATAGGTATAAGTAATAAAGGATTTTATGAGGTTTTCTTTTCTTACCCAAAGGTTGGAATGGACGATCCTGGTGCTTGCACATTAACAGTTCATTTGTAAGGATTCAGCAGTGAGAGAAACCTTCAAACAGAAAAATTGGCGATAAGATTGACGTACTTTTAGAGAAAGAAGTAAAAATGGAGGAGAGGAAAGAAAGCAGGTAGAGAGAGAACAGAAACGTCTTTCTTAGACTCCCTACTTGTTCAACACCAAGTTCTAAACCACAGCACAGTAAATATCCTCTCTAATAGGTATAAGTAATAAAGGATTTTATGAGGTTTTCTTTTCTTACCCAAAGGTGACTCATCATAGCAAGAGCAAAGCAGAACTCCTGCAGTGCTGTGTAAGGCTTGTTGCAAATGTTCTGGCTTCCTACATCTTCTTAATGTCCTACTAAATGAA